GTGGGGAGCAAGGCTAGGGGGTTTGGCTGGCTGGCAGCGGACGTTTTGCATCGTGCAAAACCCGATGGTGGTATTGCACTAAATCTTTTTTTTTTTTTATGGTGGTATTGCACTAAATTTTTTTATGGTGGTATTGCACTAAATCTTTTTTTTATGGTGGTATTGCACTAAATCTTTTTTTATGGTGGTATTGCACTATTTTTTTATGGTGGTATTGCACTAAATCTTTTTTATGGTGTTATTGCACTAAATCTTTTTTTTTTTTTATGGTGGTATTGCACTAAATTTTTTTATGGTGGTATTGCACTAAATCTTTTTTTTATGGTGGTATTGCACTAAATCTTTTTTTATGGTGGTATTGCACTATTTTTTTATGGTGGTATTGCACTAAATCTTTTTTATGGTGTTATTGCACTAAATCTTTTTTTTTTTTTATGGTGGTATTGCACTAAATTTTTTTATGGTGGTATTGCACTAAATCTTTTTTTTATGGTGGTATTGCACTAAATCTTTTTTTATGGTGGTATTGCACTATTTTTTTATGGTGGTATTGCACTAAATCTTTTTTATGGTGTTATTGCACTAAATCTTTTTTTTTTTTTATGGTGGTATTGCACTAAATTTTTTTATGGTGGTATTGCACTAAATCTTTTTTTTATGGTGGTATTGCACTAAATCTTTTTTTATGGTGGTATTGCACTATTTTTTTATGGTGGTATTGCACTAAATCTTTTTTATGGTGTTATTGCACTAAATCTTTTTTTTTTTTTATGGTGGTATTGCACTAAATTTTTTTATGGTGGTATTGCACTAAATCTTTTTTTTATGGTGGTATTGCACTAAATCTTTTTTTATGGTGGTATTGCACTATTTTTTTATGGTGGTATTGCACTAAATCTTTTTTATGGTGTTATTGCACTAAATCTTTTTTTTTTTTTATGGTGGTATTGCACTAAATTTTTTTATGGTGGTATTGCACTAAATCTTTTTTTTATGGTGGTATTGCACTAAATCTTTTTTTATGGTGGTATTGCACTATTTTTTTATGGTGGTATTGCACTAAATCTTTTTTATGGTGTTATTGCACTAAATCTTTTTTTTTTTTTATGGTGGTATTGCACTAAATTTTTTTATGGTGGTATTGCACTAAATCTTTTTTTTATGGTGGTATTGCACTAAATCTTTTTTTATGGTGGTATTGCACTATTTTTTTATGGTGGTATTGCACTAAATCTTTTTTATGGTGTTATTGCACTAAATCTTTTTTTTTTTTTATGGTGGTATTGCACTAAATTTTTTTATGGTGGTATTGCACTAAATCTTTTTTTTATGGTGGTATTGCACTAAATCTTTTTTTATGGTGGTATTGCACTATTTTTTTATGGTGGTATTGCACTAAATCTTTTTTATGGTGTTATTGCACTAAATCTTTTTTTTTTTTTATGGTGGTATTGCACTAAATTTTTTTATGGTGGTATTGCACTAAATCTTTTTTTTATGGTGGTATTGCACTAAATCTTTTTTTATGGTGGTATTGCACTATTTTTTTATGGTGGTATTGCACTAAATCTTTTTTATGGTGTTATTGCACTAAATCTTTTTTTTTTTTTATGGTGGTATTGCACTAAATTTTTTTATGGTGGTATTGCACTAAATCTTTTTTTTATGGTGGTATTGCACTAAATCTTTTTTTATGGTGGTATTGCACTATTTTTTTATGGTGGTATTGCACTAAATCTTTTTTATGGTGTTATTGCACTAAATCTTTTTTTTTTTTTATGGTGGTATTGCACTAAATTTTTTTATGGTGGTATTGCACTAAATCTTTTTTTTATGGTGGTATTGCACTAAATCTTTTTTTATGGTGGTATTGCACTATTTTTTTATGGTGGTATTGCACTAAATCTTTTTTATGGTGTTATTGCACTAAATCTTTTTTTTTTTTTATGGTGGTATTGCACTAAATTTTTTTATGGTGGTATTGCACTAAATCTTTTTTTTATGGTGGTATTGCACTAAATCTTTTTTTATGGTGGTATTGCACTATTTTTTTATGGTGGTATTGCACTAAATCTTTTTTATGGTGTTATTGCACTAAATCTTTTTTTTTTTTTATGGTGGTATTGCACTAAATTTTTTTATGGTGGTATTGCACTAAATCTTTTTTTTATGGTGGTATTGCACTAAATCTTTTTTTATGGTGGTATTGCACTATTTTTTTATGGTGGTATTGCACTAAATCTTTTTTATGGTGTTATTGCACTAAATCTTTTTTTTTTTTTATGGTGGTATTGCACTAAATTTTTTTATGGTGGTATTGCACTAAATCTTTTTTTTATGGTGGTATTGCACTAAATCTTTTTTTATGGTGGTATTGCACTATTTTTTTATGGTGGTATTGCACTAAATCTTTTTTATGGTGTTATTGCACTAAATCTTTTTTTTTTTTTATGGTGGTATTGCACTAAATTTTTTTATGGTGGTATTGCACTAAATCTTTTTTTTATGGTGGTATTGCACTAAATCTTTTTTTATGGTGGTATTGCACTATTTTTTTATGGTGGTATTGCACTAAATCTTTTTTATGGTGTTATTGCACTAAATCTTTTTTTTTTTTTATGGTGGTATTGCACTAAATTTTTTTATGGTGGTATTGCACTAAATCTTTTTTTTATGGTGGTATTGCACTAAATCTTTTTTTATGGTGGTATTGCACTAGATTGGGTTTGGCGTCCCCTCCCTTCCCCCCCAAGTCCTGCATTTCAGTTACAGGGCCAACCTTGAGGACAGGGCAGCTAGGAATATTTGGTACTGGGAGATCTTAGCTTGTGGCTTTCTAGAAGAGGCACGAGAACGTTGGTGTCTATAAACAGTGGCGAGGAAAAACAGGATGTTTTTAATGGACAAAAGAGCTAGGGACTAGTCTAGAATTGGGAAGGCTCCTAAGAAACACCGGGTGGCTCCTGCTGAATGGCCTTGCATTGTTAGCTATGGATATTTATGGAAACTCAGATAGCTGGAGTTGGGGAGAATAAGTTGGTAGCAAGTGGATGAACTGTGTGGTGGGCAGAGGACCTTTGTGTCCCACAGGGAGTCTGCAGCTAGCAGATGTGGGGGAGGGAAGCGTGGAGGATTTGGAGAAGAAAGGAAACCTGTTGATTTGGCTGGAGGCCTCAGGGAGTATTCCTTTCCGAGAGAGGGCTCCTGAGTCCCCAGAAATAGTTACTTGTGTGCTCAAGGGGCCTGGGGGAGTTTGATCAACCAGGAAGTGTGTCTGTAAGATAGGATTGGAGGGGAACTGCAGTCCCTTGAGTAAAGGAGACCCTGGTATGAGAGGGAACCTGGAACGAAACACCTTGGCATCCGAGGCTTGGAGCATTTCTCTGAGAAGAAGACACTGCGGGACTTGGGATGAAACACTGAGAGAGAAAATGGGCCCTTGAGAGAGACTAGTACTCACTTGTTCCTGAGAGGTGGGATCCTATGGAGGAGACACCCTGGGGAAAGAAGAGTGGTCTAGGGCTAACACATGTGTGGCAAGTGGTCAGCTCCCTGGGAAGAAGGGGGGAGTGGCTTTTGAA